TGTGAAAAAAACTCGCGGCGTTGGCGGGAGTCGAACCCACACAGCAGGGAAGGCCTTCACGCAGCCAACGCTCTACCGATTGAGCTACGAGGCTCACACTGCGCCGTGAAACTAATCACAGTTTTCCACAGTGGCTATAAGAGCATTTTTCCACAAAATCCTTCCACGAAACAAGCTGACTATGGAGGTCAGAGAAGTGGGGAACTGAGGGTACATACTACCCCTCCAATTAATATGCCACAGTTTCTAAAATGTTCACTAAAACCGCCTCATAATTGTACTGCTGTGTTAGGTGTTTTTGCAGTGCTGATTAGCATGGAATGAACCTTCAAGTTAACTCGTACACACCAATATGCTGGTTCTTAGTTCTGTGGTTTTTTTCAGCTACGTGTATTAATTATTTGCGAGGAAATCTACCTGCTTTAAATTTCCCGTATTTTGCTTGCATAAATTCGAAGTTTCCAGAAGGTATATCCCAGAGAGTTCATTTCTCGCACTCATGTTGTAGGCAGATATATATTCCGGAAATTTAGTTTTTAAAAGCACGGCTTGTTGTGATATAAAATATCGCATACCTCTTGTATATTGTTAAATTTGTTGACGCTAAACAGCGCCCAGTGTGACTGTTTACTTTTAAACTTCAGCTATTAGAACCCCCACGATAGTTTTTGGGCTTTTAAGACTTCAGAGTATAGGAACCGTAAAAGGAAAAATATAGGACCTACGTTACGCAAAACAATTAAGCGGCTATAACGTGATCCGCGCAAGTATATCAGGCAAATTATATCTACATTTCTCCTTCCTAAAGAAAAGAGAGAAACGGAGCGCGACAAGAAATTGAAGGAAGAAGCAATTATCTTGGAGAGCGTTGCCGAGAAGACGGCACTCAAGGGCGTTGGAGAGATTGCTATGGGCATCCAGTATGAGAAACCAATCGAAACTGGGTAAGTTGTCCCTGTCGTAATCTTTACTGTGGATACTCATTCAAGATTACCCCTGGAACGCCTAGTTTTGTGCTTCTGTTAACCATGTAATTCGTTTTACGGTCCTTCAAGCCAGGTTTTTGCGAACTTGTTTGTTTTTTCTAAAATAACTTTCTAGTTAAATTGTTTAAGTAACCGTATTTATTGATTTGTTCACTTCTGCCGTTCGCACCTAGTCTTCTGTCTAGTCTGAGTCCGTTTCTCCTGAGAAATTTTGGGTGCTCTTATTGACCCTGTTTTGCGCCGTTGATGTATGGCAGCCCGCAGCGAGCGTTCAAAGTCCATTCTAGGATGTACGCCTAATTACACGACCAACTCCATCCAAAGCTACTCAATGGTAGCAATTCTAATAGTTTTAATTATTGTGTATCCACATTTCACTGCTAAATTAACAAAAGCTGTGGAAGCCATTTGTCAACGTTCTATATGGTGCATTATACATGGTGCAGTCAACACAAACTTTCTTTGTTTAAGGTTAGCCTGTT